CGGTCGACCGACAGAACGTTCGGTCGACCGAAAGAAAGAATTCGGTCGACCGACGGAAAATCCGGTCGACCGCGAGCAGATCTGAAAAACAAAGAAACAAGCAGAGACTTCGTCGGTCGATCGGTGCGGTCGACCGATGGAGCTTTCGGTCGACCGGACCGGTCGACCGACAGACTCTCTGTCGCCCAGTGAGAATATGAACTCAGGTTCGGTCGACCGGTACGGTCGACCGAAAACAGATATGACAGAAACTGAAACCTGTTTTGCTGGTTTTAAAATGCTGTTTAAAAATATCAAATAAATTCCAAAAAATGTAAAACTTTGGGGAATGATTGTAGACATGATAATAAACATGCTACAACGACTGGTTTCGAAAAAGGACTTCCCAAATGAAAAATATCATCATTTTGCAAAATAGTCCAAAACACGAAAATGTAAACATGTGAATTTTGACATTTTGGCTAAACCAACTTTTGAAACTTTACAAAATGATTTTATAGACTTGAAGAAAGATGTAAACTATTGTTATGAAGTCTATAAACAATGAATGTAGTATTTTATCAAAATACACATATAATGCACTAAAACATGATTTCATTTAACTAACTAAAATTGATATTGATGAAATCATCTATATGCATATGAGTATGAAACAAAAATATGTTTTCTAATTATATTCAATTGTTTCATAGTAAAACTTGAAAACTATCAAACCAAAACATATATGTATATATATATAACTATATATATACAAAAACCAAAACGTGTATGTGTGTATATGATTGAGCTTAAAGCACTAACACACATAATATAAATTCCTAAACTAAATTACCCAAGCAATGATCTTGATCTTCAATAAGCTTGACTTGGTAATCTCGCGGATGAAGCTTGAACTTGGATCTTGAACTTTGAATAGCAAGGCTTCACCGACATTCCGCCAACCTCCTTTGGATATGATCGTTATGGCGCTATTCCATCCATCCTCCAACAACGTTGTTTGTCTACAATACATAGGAAAACACAAATACTAGACAAACAACATTAATGGTAAATTGTTTGTTAAACATCATCAAAAAAAGAAGGCCAACAAGCTAGAGACTTGGCCAGTGATTGGTTTCCATCATTGAAGAATGATGTAGCTAATTCGGATTTGTCAGCTCTGCCTATTCTGCCCATTCGATGCACGTAGTCATCTATGTCTTTAGGAAGATCAAAGTTGATCACGTGAGCCACGTGAGGGATATCGAGACCACAAGCAGCCACATCTGTAGCTACCATGGTTGGAGTCCAACCTCGCTTGAAGGAATTTAAAGCTTTCTCATGCTCCTGCAAAGAGCACATCAGTACATTTAGCACAAATTTAAGTTGTAACATACTATTATGAATAGCTATCTAGATCAAAATGTCAAGCATTCCGTGCATATTTTTGCATGAACTAAAATTAACAACATGTAGTTCTCCTAGCAAACAAGTATTTTCAAGAAGGGAAAAAAATATACAAACACTCATCTGTCCAACCCAATTCCAATTCAAATCACCCATATACGCTGCACCAAATTGCTTCACCTTTAATATTCGTTATATTTTGAGATAATGATAGGGGAAGAAGAAAGTCACCCAAACCCTTGAACTGGTGAAAATAATGGAAAAAGTGATGCTATTTAGCAAAATTTATGGACATATAGGCAACAGATCCACTTTCCCATTGGAAAATTATAATATTAAAAAATCCATAAAATGAGGAGCATCAAATTGATATTAACCCCAAATAAGCATCATTATAAGTATTTTTATAGTTAGAAAATTTTAATACCAGAATCTCGCTCCCTGGCATCGTAGTAAAACCTCGAGGCACGTCGTCGGACGGACTCTCGCTCCCTAGCATCTTCGAGCAACATGCCGTACAGGACGTAATCGATGATCGGGAGACGCCAGTATTTTAGATCGGGCTGATTTGAAACTTGATGAGTGGCGTTTGCTTCTGGAACGTCCTTTAGTCAAAAGAGCCTTCTGCTTGCCACGGTGACCCATTGAGTCGTCTCTAGTGGCTGGGCCAAGTTAGCTGCCAAGGATGAGAGGGCGTCCGCATACGTGTTCTTGGAACGGAGCACATGCTCAATGCAGAAGCTCTCGAATGACTCCACTAGCTTGGTAGCTGCTTGGTGAAGCGGGATTAGATCGTCATTCCTTACTTCGTACTCGCCCGTCATCTGTTTGACAATTAGCTGAGATTCACCGTAGGCTTCGAGATGTCTTATCCCTAACTCTCTTGCTAACTCGAGTCCAATGAGTAGCGCGTTGTATTCAACCACATTATTGGTGCATGGCTCTGTTAGAGAGAAGGCTCGAGGTAATACGTGGTTATGCGGGGAAGTGAGGACCACCCCCACTCCTGCAACAATGGATCCACTTGTGCCAACGCGAGACGCGCTGTCAAAGAACATCTGCCAAACCTCTGGCGAAGAAGTTGTGTTGACCTCAGGGGGTTCATCTGGCAAATCTTCAAATATGTCAGTCTTCGCCCCTAGCAGATGACTAGCCATAAGATCACAGATAGCCTGTCCTTTGACTAACTTCTGTGACATGAAGTGAATGTCATACTGAGACAATAGGAGTGCCCACCTGGCCAAACGCCAGTTTAAAGCTGCGGGCTGCATCATAAAAACTCGGATGGGGTTTATCCGGGAAATGACGTGGATGGTCTGGCTAACCAAGTAGTGCCGCATCTTTTGGATGGCGAATACTAAGGCCAAACATTCCTTTTCGACCATCGGGTATCGCTGTTCGGCACCTTGTAGGGTTCTACTTAAGTAGTAGATGCCCTGCTCGTGGCCAGCGTCGTCATTTTGTGCCAAGAGGGCGCCTAGAGAATGCTCCATAGCCCTGATGTAGATGAGGAATGGCTTTCCTAAGATTGAAGCTGCCAGAACAGGTGGGTTTGAGAGATAATCCTTGATCTCTTCAAAGGCCCGTTGGCAAGGCTCGTCCCACACGAAGAAAGTACATTTCTTCATTAGTTTGGAGAAGGGTTGACACTTACCCGAAAGATTCGAAATGAACCTCCGGATGTAAGCCAATCGTCCCTGAAGGCCCCTTAGCTCCTTAAGATTTCAGGGTGGCTGAAGCTCTTGAATAGCTCGCACCTTGTCTGGGTCAATCCGGATTCCTTTCGTTGTGACGACGAAACCGAGGAATTTACCGCTAGACATCCCTAAGAATAACTTCGTAGGATTCATCTTGAGTTGATGAGTCCTCATGAGTTCGAACATTACCCTCAAGTCTTGGAGGTGGTCATCTTTACAGCGACTCTTCACGACCAGGTCATCCACGTAGCATTCGACCGTCTTCCGCAGGTAATCTCGAAAGATCATGCTCATAGCATGCTGGTAGGTTGCTCCAGCGTTTTTGAGTCCGAAGGGCATAACAGTGTAGCAGTACAGCCCCATAGGAGTCCTGAATGAAGTGTGCTTTTCGTCCTCCGGGTGCATTTTGATTTAATTGTACCCTGAGAACCCATCCATGAAGGACATCCTCTCAAATCCACATGTGTTGTCAATGATGACATCCGTGATGGGTAGAGGAAACTCATCTTTAGGGCACGCGGCATTGAGATCCCTAAAGTCAATGCAGATGCGAATCTTTCCGTTCTTCTTCAGGACTAGAACAATATTGGCTACCCAGTCAGGGTGCTGTTCCTCTCTGATAAAGCCGGATTTGATAAGTTTCTTCACTTCGGCCTCGATTGCTTCCATGATCTGCGGACGAACCACCTCTGCTGTTGTTTGACTGGTTTGGCATCCGAGCTAATGTTGAGGCGATGCATGGCGACCCGCGGGTCGAGGCCAGGCATGTCCTCATAATTCTATGCGAAGACGTCAATGTATTCCCGTATGAGGGCAATGAGATCTTCTTTCTCCTGAGAGGGGAGACTACCACTAATGAATATAGGCTTAGGGTTCGTCTCATCACCCATGTTCACTTGGAGGATTTCATCTTCGGTCGGTGATTCACGTTGCTCGAAGCGACTGTTCTACTGAGCGTTGACGTGGCGGTCCCATGTCTCGTCATAAAGCGGGACCTGTCCGTCCCCTGCCATTTTGGCAGGATCAATTGTGGTCTCGTCATAAAGCGGGACCTGTCCGTCCCCTGCCATTTTGGCAGGATCAATTGTGGCCATGTTGACTGTGAGGTTGTTGAACAAGTCTCTTACACTGACGTCCGAGTCCCATGCTGAGATTGTCGAACATTGATCCCCCGAACGCGTGTAGTCGGAATCCTCGTTGACATAATAGAATAGATCCGAAGAGGAAGAGGAGTAGCCCAAACCTCTCCGAGTCTTGTTGAAGTAATTTGAGGGTTTGCCTTTAGGTACGTAAGCAGGTCGGATGACCGTCTTGCACCCCCGGCCGTAATTTAAACCCTCTGGGCGGGTAAGGTCATACCCCATGTCGCTCATCATGCGCCTCGCGATTTGACTGTACTGTGAAAATTAAGGCGCGGGGTCCTCATCTTCAGACTCGTCCCACAATGTGCGCAAAGGGTGATCGATTCATCCGAAGATGATATCCTTCTGGTAGTTATCTCGGGCTGGTATGATAAGTACAGCTTGTGATGACTTGATCGGCTATGTCTTCGCGACATACGACGAGCATACAGGAAGGTGCAGGGAGCAGTCGTTATAGAGTTTCGACACTAGGTTATTAGGCGCATCATCCTCAGATGTTGAGCAAGATGACAAATAAGCAAAGTTGAACTTCTCATTCACGATAATCTCCTCCGCCTAAACAACGTTGGTTACATTGTGACTTTTATAACCGATTACAATTGACTCGAAGTTGCTCAGGACTAGGCTGTCGCCGTATTCGGGCTCGCTATCCTCCTCGTTGCCGCTCTCCGGTTCCTCGACCGGTGGCTCGTCGGGGTCTTGGTACAGCAAAGAGTCCGTGAAGTAGTTTTCGACGCCTTTGAAGGGTTGCTTGTCGGCTACTACTGTCTTCACGCGATCATAGTCGTCCACGTATTTTAAGCATTGATGCAAGGTAGATGGGACTATCCGGTTACTGTGGATCCATGGTCGTCCCAAGAGCATATTGTAGGATGGCTCGGCGTCGATGACATAACAGGTCACCTCTGTCTTCATGTCGCCTATCCGGCACTTCAGGCGTATTTTGCCAAGCGGTCGTGTTCCCGTGGCGTTGAAGCCGAAGATAGTTGTGGTAGTTGTGGACAGACGCTTCGAGGGCACCCCTAGGTGTTTGATCAGTTTTAGAGGTACAATGCTTAATGCAGACCCCGGGTCGACTTGAATCCGATCCACTTTCGAGGAACCGACGTACCCTGTGAAGTACGGCGGTCGATCATGGGAGGTGCTTTTGATGAGCATGTCCTCAGGAGTGAATGTAATGCAAGGGACGCGCCTCTCGGTGGTCTGGTAGCACATCGCACATTCCTGTTCCGTGTATTTTTCCCTCGAGAAATGGATGGCAAAGACTTCCGAGTCGACCAATGCTTCTTGTAGGGCTTCCCGGGTAGGCCTGGATAGCCGCAGAAGGTCATACATGGTAATTCGTACGGGGATGCTTTTTAGTTGTATGAGTACGTTGAAACGAAAAGGTTGATTAGTCGAGCTTGGTTTATCGATGCTCGGAAGGACTGCTGCAGCTGGCCTTGTGGAAGGCCCTGCAGGGTCTTCCGTTCTCACCGGATATTCTTTAGTGGCGAGGACGGTGATTTCCTCCTCGGTATCGGTGGGAGCGGTCATTGCTATCTTATCTCCATCCAGGATGGCGGAGATGATGTTGCAAGGCTTTCCCTTAACCTCTTTCGAGGGCTTTGTAGTCCATTGTTCATCGCTGAGGAGGTCCGGATGGACCCACATCACTTGACCCGATGGCAGAGTCAGAGGGACTAAACCTTTCCCTCCTTGGTTGTGAGGGTCGTCATTAGTGATTTTCAGGACTGCCTTAGGGATAAGAATTACCCCTGCTAGAGCCTGGACCTCCGGGAGATCTGTCCCAAAGCTCAAGGTGATCATATTCGTGGTCACCTGCTTTTGAACCTTCTCCTTCTTTAGGACTCCTGCGTCGTAGAGGGCCTGGAGTTTATCCTTGAGGATGTAACACTTGGAAGTGTGGTGGCCAAGGAATCTGTGATAAGCACAATAACTCGGGTCATTAGTTTTGTTCGCCTTCTTAGGCTTCGTGTCCTCTGGCAATTTAATTCGATTGTTCTTGAGTAGAGTATCGACTGTTGCCACCACCTGGTCTTCTTTAAAGTCGTATTACCATGGGGGGCGTTGCTCGAATTGCCTAGGTTTCGGCCTTTGAGCAGTCTTGGGTGTCGAGGCAGAATCGACGGCCATGATCTCTTTTCCTCTCGTTCAAGGAGGATTCTTTAGTACGGCCAGCTCCGCGGCTCCCTTCTTGGGCTGTGGCTCTTCGGCCTCTAACCTTTTGATCATATTTTCCACTTGCTCGCCTTGACGAACAAATTCTTTCCAGGTCCGGGTTTCCACCGCGCTAACCTTGGATAGAATATGGATCGAGAGATTATTGCGGCACATCTCGATCAGCGTGGATTCAGAAACTTGATCCCGATAGTGGACCGATCGGTTCCTGAACCTCTTCACGAATTCGTTGACCGACTCTGACTTCCGTTGTTTTTCGGCGAGGAGGGTGGCCATCGACACCTCCGTGTCATTGTCGAAGAAGCAGGCCAGGAAAAGTATTTCCGCGTCGGCCCATGACTTGATAGAGCCGGGTTCTAACTTGCGGAACCATTCAAACGCCACCCCTTTGAGGGTGCCTATGAATAACCAATTGAGAATAGCGTCATTCCCCATAAGGAATCCGGTCTGCGCCATGAAGTAATAAATGTGTTGCAAGGGCGAGCCCTTGCCATTAAATTGTACTAAGATAATCGGTTTGAACTTCGCAGGGTATGGGACGGTATCCCACTCGACAGGATAGGGTCGGACCACCCCCAGCTTGTTCATGTTTTGCTGGAGTTTCAAAGCGTTGAGTTGGCTTTGGAACTCGTCGAACCTCTTGTCGCGGGCGCTACCCCCTAGTATATGACGTTCCTAGCAAGGTTTTGGAAGAGTAGTCGGATTGTTGACCGATATTATCCTCCGCTTTAGTCACCGGACGATAGGGAGGTATCCAATCTTTACTCCCCATCTGTCGCAGTAAGGTGTGTTGGGTTCTTTTCTTTTTCTTCTTCTTCTTCTTGTTCAGAAGCTGCTCCAACATCTCTCTTAAGGAGTCTATGGTCGCCTATTGTTCTTCAAACCTTTGGGCCACCGCCTGTTCTTGTGTGGGTTCGGCCATGTGTACCCTTGCCAGAGCATCCTGACTCGAGTGAGATGTTTGGGATGTAGCTACTGCCGACTAAATCTCGTCTTCACCGTCGGAGGGAGGTGCTAAGGTTGAATAATCAAACCCAATGCTCACCCCCGTACGACTACAGGTATACAAGTATATACCATCTCATTCACGTTGGACAAGTGGAGGATTAGGTCCCAAGAAGGGGTCCGAGTCTTGTGAGCCAGAAAGTACGGCTTTGCCCTTGTCCGTCATGTTGATTGTAGCGGATGAGAGCTCTAGATCGTCGACGGCGCGTCCTGCTTGATGATGACGCCCACAACGAGAAGGTCTCGGTCAAGAAGGTCTTGGAGAGAGCCTCTCGAACACTGAAGGTTTCATCGTTCTTATACATTGACAGTCATCGAGTACTGTTTGGATAAGTCTTTCACAGTGGCACTGAGGATTCACCTCATGTATGGTGTGTTTGCGAGTTAAGTGAACCCGGAGATCTTCTGTGGGCGATCGGCGACAACCCCCAACGTCAGACGGGTCGCCTGGGTGATTGCACAAGAGAGTTTTGGATGCACCCCCTGGTGTATACTGGGTAGAATGTTTAGGTGTTGGAGTCAGCCGAGCTTGCCCTGACAAGCGAGTCTTCACACTTAGGCGAACTCCATCATGCAGGCGAGACTCAACCCTTTGCTTACGCA